AACACACAACAACATGCGGTCATCTCTTTTGACGGGCGCCATTGCGGCGGCCCTGAGCTTTTCCGGTTATGCTGCCGCCGCCGACGCTGAGGCGTGGAAGTCCCGATCCATCTACCAGGTCATGATCGACCGTTTCGCTCGCGACGACGGCGGTTCGGTCGACTGCAAGCTGTACGAGTTTTGCGGTGGTACTTGGAAGGGCCTTACCAACAAGTTGGATTATATCCAAGGTAAGTTTGGCCAGCCTGTCTCATGCCCGTTTTGTGAGCCCAGCAGCCGACAGAATACGTACAGGTATGGGCTTCGATGCCATCCAGATCAGCCCCGTCATCAAGAACGAGGATAAGAACACCGCCGTTGGCGAGCCCTACCACGGTTACTGGTCGCAGGATCTCACCCAGGTCAACCCCAAATTCGGTACCGAGGAGGACCTCAAGAACCTCATTGATGAGATCCACAAGCGTGACATGTTCCTCATGGTTGACGTTGTCGTGAACCACATGGCGCAAGAGTTCGACAATGTTGTGCCCCCCAAGGTCGACTACTCCGTGTTCAAGCCGTTCAACGACAAGAAATACTTCCACCCGTACTGCAACGTTACCGAGTGGGAGAACGCCACCAACTACCAGGACTGCTGGCTCTATCCCTATGGCATTGCTCTCGCCGATCTCAAGACCGAGTCCCCCGATGTTGTCAGCCTTTTCACCAAGTGGATCAAGAATCTCGTCTCGACCTATTCCATCGATGGTCTCCGTATCGATGCCGCCAAGCACGTCAACGATGAGTTCCTGCCCCAATTTGTCCAGGCTTCCGGCGTTTTCGCTCTCGGTGAGGTTTTGACCGGTGTCACCGAGGACATGTGCCGCTACCAGAACAAGTCCAAGAACCTCCTCCCCGGCATGCCCAACTACCTCGACTACTATCCCTTGAACGCGGCCTTCAACGGCGGTTCCTTTGAGCGCCTCGGCGAGATCCGCGCCCAGGCCCAAGACAGCTGCAACGACACTCTTGCCCTCGGTACCTTCATCGAGAACCACGATATGCCTCGCTTTGCCAGCCAGAACCAAGATATGGCCCTCGCCAAGAACGCCATGACCTACGTTATCATGAACGACGGTATCCCTACTGGTAAGACACACATATTTGTTTTCGCATTTTCCCTTTTCTGCGCATCAGAAAATCACTGATCTGACACAATCAACAGTCTACCAAGGTCAGGAGCAGCACTTCACGGGCGGCGCGACCCCTGAGAACCGCGAGCCCCTCTGGACGTCCAGCTACAACACCTCGGCGCCCCTCTACGTTCTTGCCCAGACCCTCAACAAGGTCCGCAAGAACGCCATCAAGCAGTCGCCTACCTACGTCAAGCAGACGTCCAATGTCCTGATTGCCGACACCAACCACTTCTGCCAGCAAAAGGGCCCCGCCGAGAACTCGGTCGTGTTCTGCGTCACCAACAAGTCGTCCAAGGGCGACAGCTACCAGATGTCCGTTGGCGGCTTCCGCGACTCTGACGAGGTTGTCGAGGTCCTCAGCTGCGCCACGACCACTGCCGACGGCCTCGGCCAGATCACCGCCTACATGGGCGCTGGCGAACCCAAGGTCTGGGTCAAGAAGTCTGCTCTTGAGGGCACCGATATCTGCACCAAGACCACCGTTGACGGCCCCAAGGAGGAGAATGGCGCTGTCTCCAAGGGCGCCGCCACCGGTGTCCTGATGGCTGCCGTTCTCGGAACTGCTAGCTTGCTCCTTTAAATTTGATGTCCAAATTTAAGAGAGACCAAACAAGGAAACGCAAAAAACTAGAAAACAAACAAGCTGTAGTCATGTTCTGATCTCATCTGATATTTGAATTGGAACTACTCTTAAAGAGGGGTTCCTTTCAAGTCGGTTCGATCATCTTGGAAAGCTGAGAGGGAAGTTGGTGATAAGATACCCCCAAACGCAAACGCAAACACACTTGACGGTTGAAAGTCGCATTAGAAGAAATGGCAAACGTTGTTGTTGAGAGCATGAGAGTCAGGCCATGCAACGCCGTGTACATACGACACAATTGTATGTCGGGTGTCAATATATCTTTCTGGATAACGGCGTAATGGCTGCTCGATTATCTACATACATTCCAGCGCATCTATATACGTACCAAATTTTAGTATACATCATTTCTTTATTTTCTTAATTCATACTATGACGCGAAATCTTGTGAGCCTTGCGTGAGAATCTAATGAGTTGAAGCCGAGGTTGACTCGACTCGACTGAACTTTTACCTATTTGTACCTGTAACGAACCTTTGCTTACAATCTTAGCAGTATCGTGTTCTGGCAAAGATTTCATCATCATTAGAGCCTGCTGTGTCCACTGCAACACGTCATGTCGCTAGGTACTCGTCTTCTTCCAGAAGAAGGTTAATCCAGCCCTTTTGTTTCAGAATGTCCGAGTCTCGGTTCTCACAGCAACGATATTCCCGGACATGGACAGCTCATCTGAAACATCTGGACTGTGATGATATCGGATTATGTATGACGACCTCGACCTGTTGAACAAAATAAAATAAATTACATATGTACATGGCTTACGTGATATTGACACAGGTCTGACGTGTATCAGTCTCATTTTGAGAAACACAAACAAGAGAGAGAGAGAGAGAGAGAGAGAGAGAAGAATATTATTGGTAAAAGTAGCCTTCACCTTGCAAAAACAGGTAGGTAGGTAGACAAGGCAAGGCAAGGCTGTCTTGTCCAAGGTGTCTTGTCCCTCACTGTCTCGTTCTTTCCTGGTTTCCCCTTCTCATATATGTTATTACACGTGAAAACTTGGATCTTGATTCCTCAAGCTAACTGCATCCGGCAGAAGAAAATGTCTACAGCCGAGAATTGATTTTTTTTTTTTTCTCATCACTAGAAGAAAAAGAAAAAAAAAAAAAGACCACATCGCGCTTCTGTAGGAGATGTCTTGGTTGGCGTGGTTGGTTATTGTTACACAACGAACACCTTTTCCATGGCTCGGCGGTGGTTGGAATAAGCTTAAAAAGCTGACTGACTGACTGACGTTGGGATGAGATCACCGACGGGATGTTTCCTTGGTCCGAACTTCTCTTCACCTTTTTTTCCGTCTCACTACCTACCTACCTCCCGTCTGGTCGGTCCCACCATTCATCTACAATACCTAGCCTACATACCACGTGGTCCCGTTGGCCGGTACGGGCGCGCGCGTTAACTCGCCGTTTGTTTTGCCCGTCCAGACCCCCGCGGCGATCGCAGTGTTTGTCGGATACATACTTGAGTTTTGCCAACTTGGCTGCTGCCGATAGGTACTATGGTACTTGGTAGATACTCGAAGGAACTTACTGGAAGCCAGGAGAACAGTCTAATGGTTTCAAGCAAAGATTCAATATGAAAGACAAGAAGAAGAATGAAGCAGGTCAAAAGGAAGAAAGAAGATCAAAGGGAAATGGGACCCTAAGAAAAAAGAAACTAAAGAAAAATGAGATAAAGAAAACAAAGAATAAAAAAGGAGAAATTCAATACGACATGCCAGTGGTTCTGATCGCTTTGTCACTCTACCCTTTGTCTCTTTAGCTCGTGATCGTTTCTTTTCACCGGCTGGTTGACCCAATGCTGATGGTGTTTACACTACTGATGACGGTCGAAGGTAATGTAGTTGGCATTGAAAATTGGAGAGATAATAATGCCATGTCGGCTATCGCTTGGCCTTGTCACGTGCTGAAGCTGATGCGGCGTTCTTGGTGTCGTTGTCCGAATTTCGCTGCGTAAATGACTTCCATTGGCCTCATCTACATAGGATGGAAGCGAGATCTTTTCTTACATAGTAGATGATCTTCTTCGATGACACTTTAAGCATTTTCTGTCATTTCGCCTTCCAACCACCTTCTCCTGCCGTAGGACATGACAAAGGCCTGGAGACACAGCAGGCCGGGTAAAAGGGCAAGTCAGAGTTCCTTGTACATGAGAATGAAAGGCACAACTTCTTTTTCGCTCTTACATGCTCATCTTTAGCTGCCCGGTTCGTTGACGGGACCGAATAGAGGTGAGACTTGTTAGGCGTCTCGTCAGACCGCTCCAGGGGGGATTGATCACACACAGACGACAGGCAGTCGGTGATAGAATTTATTTGCCCATGTATTCAATTGCACGTTTCTATGTGCATTCGGTGATGTGATACATACAAGAAAGACAAACTGGGGAGAGAGAGAAGACGAGACCACAGCATCTAGCAAGGGGCGGCTTATCATGGAACTTAATGCAGTGTACATAAGACGATTCTAGGTTTTGGGGTCCGTCCGGAGCCAGAGACCGGCTCCACATTTTCCACGATCCCCTGATTGTGGAGTAGTTTACATATGTATTTGCTGTGATTGGAACGTTCGAGCCCTGGGGCCGCTGCCTGCATTCTGTGGATACGTCATGGGAAACATCATGGGACGATCCTCCTTGAGGGGCTCTCGAGAGGGGATGAGAATGGGCGGACCAGAACTGTAGTGTAGGTAGGTACACCGTTCACCAAAGCGAAGGGCGCCGTTGACTTTGGCTTTCTTGGAAATAAATGGTCTAAATGCCTACGAGTTGCACTCCAAAGAAACCCGGTCAGTTTTGAACAGAATTCAAGCTGTTGTAGGCATAGGTATTTGAAGATTGAAGATGCAATTCCAGGTCAACAATTGAAGCTTTTGTTGATGATGAATGCCCCAAAACGGTAATGCGCATCCATGTAATGTAATGTACCCTTAATTCTGTCACTCCCCTTGACAGGCTACGTACAAGCCGCTGCAGCTGCCTCCTCTTCTTGACACTGTCACCGCTCCTGCATCCCGAGTGATCTCGCCAACAAGGGAAGGAACGATCGTTTGTTAGGTTCCCGTCGGGTAGGTACGCACACCCACGGCACCCAAGGTCACCTGGTCGCTGTCACACTGTATCGCATATTTTTTAATATATCTCTGTCCTCCCAAGCGAAACCTCTCCTCCACAACATTTTACCATCTGTCGACAAATCAATCGCATCAAGTAACTGAAAGAACAGTCAGCTCGATTACCAAGTCTCACGATCCCATCGCACATCAACACATCCCCAAAACAAACAAATACCAAGAATCACAATGACCGGCGCCACCTCGAACCCCCAGGTCTGCCCTGTCGTTGGCACCACAAACTCGACTCTCCCTCCCAGCCACCCGGACATCGATCTCTCCCAGCCCGGCCAAACATGCCCGGTCGTGGGGGCCTCAACCGATCACCACCACAACCTCCACAAGCACCCTCAAGTGTCCCAGCCCGAGGGTCTCAAGCGCTTGGACGACGCCTCGGCCTGCCCCGCCCTCAACAGCCGCATTGTCAACGAGCCCAAGTCCAAGGAGATGGACGATGAGGTCTGCCCTGTGGTCGGCACAGCGACGACGGTTCTGTCCCCCGATCATCCCAACATTGAGGGCGCGCCGGAGGATGCCGAGTGCCCTGTCACCAAGGCCAAGGTCGCACATCACAAGGGCAAGGTCCACGAACACCCGGATTTGAAGAGCGCCAGCGAGGGCGCCGTTTGCCCGGTTGCGGGGAAGTACAAGAGTGAGATGGCTGGTATTGGTGCTTAGGTTGTGGGTAGTGAGAGAAACAAACGGTTACACGGCGTCTATGCTAGGGGATCAAGTCTGAAGGATAACAATATAAATGAATATTGGTATCGGATCAATTAGTCCGTTTACAAGTTTCCTTGCAATGGTATTCCGTGATGGTGTCTTTTGTGAGCCTCGTGCACCCAAACCCCTTGAGCTGTGAATGAGTGAGCCCTCCAAGAGAGTCGGCAGGTCTCGAAAAGGAAGTTAACCACTGCAAGGAGGCAGCACAATCGAAGCTGGAACTTGCAATTGGGTCTAGTGACCATCACTGTCACACCTCAACTAAACGGATTGATTGTTGGAAAAAGAATTTCTCCTCGTCAACTGAAGTTTCGAAGGTGAATGGGAATGTTTTCTGGGACATAATACACAATTATGTTCTTTTTTCTCGTCCTCTGCCAGTCGAGTCCATACACCATCACCCCTTGAAACCTAGGGCTATGGGAGAGCAGCTGAATGTCCGAAAGAAATGCCAGCTTCAAGTGATGTTCCTCAGGTTGGTCACCCCCACACATGGACGAAAGCTACCATCAACTGCCCCAATATCAGCGACTGCCACACCCAATAACAAAACAAAACATCAGGGTGTCTAACTTGCGTTTAGCACCTGCACCATGGAGCAGGATCGCCACCCGGCCAAACGCAGCCTAAACTCAAGGGTTAGCCACAAAAGAGCTACGTACTTAGGTGTGTAAAGGGTGAGGAGTTTCACTTACAAGCTCTTCCGCATTGTGCGGACAGTACCCACTGACGACCATTGCAAACAGCAACACTATTGAAGTCGTCGGTGCAGTCGTAACCAGATCCACTGCACGACTGTCCAAGCCAGACGGTTCCCTGGACTGAAGCGACCAAAGTCGCCATGGCCGAAACAAGATGGAGAAGTTGCATACTGAAGGCTTGAAAAGGGAGTCGACTAGTAGACTAGTGTTGGAGGAAGGTCTTGAGGGAGGAAGGCTAATGGATCAGGCAAGGGAGAAAGAAGCTGTTGGCAAGTTGCAGGAATGAGGGCACTTTATATACTTCTTGATGGCTTCATCCGTCATGAAATTGGCAGGCTGGTTGCGTCTCTTCCAGACGGCTTCGCGGCATCTGAAGACAAGGCTTCATGATCATTCGGTCTGCCTTTGCTGATCACCCCCTCTCTGCTAATACGAGTTTGTTAGTAAACCTGTAAGCATGAGGTTGCATAGAGGAAATTGGCGTAGTAGAGAAGGATTTTGGTATAACCAATCGGGCTCCGCATTCAGGAATCATGACTGGATGCATCATGAGGCCAATTGCTCCCGTTTGTTAAGAAGAATAAGACATCCTGTTACTGAGCCTACATGTGCCAGGTCGAAATCACCAACGGTTCAGTACGCTAGGTGGTAGCTGGATACGCTAGAACTAATAGAGTGTCAAGAGCTCTAATTGACGACCTCAATTGTTTTCTCGTTCACCCTCTTCTCACAATTTGTGTAACTCAGAATCCCGCCGCACACATAGTAACACAAGCGAATATCTTCGTCCTGCTGGATTAGAACAAAGGACGGATGATCTCACCGTAGGTCTGTGGCAAAGATAGATAGGCCCAGTGGGCCAATGTTGCGTCTTACGTACGCCCAAGAGAACATTGAAGAAAGGAATGCAACCCGAAAGTATCGTACGAGCCAAACTCTCTTACATGTTATGTCAATCGCAGTGAGACTGGAACCGCAACGCCGAGCGGCCATGTTTAGACAGTGTAGTAGGGAAGTGCCGACGTGCATTGATGAATCTGTACGCAGTAGTTTACAGCTTATAACTGCCCAATCATATGCTTGCAACTTTTGCCATGGTCATGACAACATCAGAGAATCGAGACTCTGGGAAAGAGCAATGTGTGGGGAAATGGTTACCATAATTGGCGGGCTTGATATACCCGACTGCAGTGAGAAGAGAAAACCTGGGTGGGGTACGACTTCCACTCACACCTTCCAGAACGAATGCTTACAAACTCACACTAGCACTGCGTGCATGATCAAGTCAAATCTGTTACTCCTCGAGTCTCTGGTCCTACTAGTATTTGACAGGAAGCAATTCACTCGACAGAGAGTAGCGGCCCAAGAAAAATGGTAGGGGAACATGATACTATCAGCATCGATGACAAAGACGATGCCCAGGCAGTTCGTCGTTGCTTGGTGACTACCTCTAGACGCCACGAGGACAAATCTACAACCGATATAATATTACAGATGCAAGTCTTGACTGTTACCACGGATATCGCCTTCGGTCCATCCTTCAGGACTAGGTCCCGATGATGTGGACTCTCGTGATCCCTTTCATCCAGAACACCTTGTCCCCTCCCCCAGCGTATACGTTAGTTGGAGAAAAACATGAGTGAAACCATCACTGACTGTCTCCAGGCTATACACCGTGCCTTTCGACCGGGGTCAAATAGACCGGAAGCGGGTGTTTCTCCCACAAAGTATAGATATGTTGATCCAGCCAGTCCTTGTCAGGGTTTGCGAGCTGCATATCAAAGTTATAGACGACTTTGGTAAGGATGAGCCTCATCTCCGCGATGGCGAGGCTGTGATAGAAGAGGGCGATTCGTCAGCCAACGAACAAGGAGGAAGAGAACAAAGTGCCGAAACACTAAGGGAATGATTCACTCACCTCCGACCAATACAATTCCTTGGTCCAACGCTAAAAGGTTGTACCGCATCTAACCTGTCGTTGGCAAACCGGGGATCCTGCATCCACCGCTCAGGATGGAACTCGAATGGTTCGACAAAATGCTGCTCATTGTGGCTTGTTGCCCAGTGCCATACAGCAACAACGGTCTTTGTCGATAGAAAGAAAAAATTTGGTCAGTCTATGGCCGCCATAATACCAAGCTCTTCCTGAAGGAAATGAAAACTTACACCTTCTGGAACGAATGTGCCCGCAACCTTGGCACCGCCCTTGGGAACAACGCGAGGCATACCGATAGGGACAGGAGGATAGAGACGCATAGCCTCGTTCAAGCAGGCCAGCATGTACTCGAGGTTGCCCACGGACGAAAGGGTGATTTCTTCCTCGGATTTGAAGGTCGAGCGAACTTCCTCAGTCAGCTTCTTCATTGCCTCGGGATCCCTCAGCAGCATATATGTTGCTCCAGCCAAGAGTGTTGCAGTCGTTTCCGAACCGGCGACGATCAACAGACTTGCATTGGCCGCGAGTGCGTCCATGTCTATGCCCTAGAGGTTGTCAAAAGCTCACTTGTCAGCATCCATCATCATCACCATATTCTCGGGCTTCAGTTAAGGTAGCCACCAGCAAAAAAAAAGGGGGGGGGGGGACATGAACTCACCCACTCCTCTCTCTTCTGCAACAACCCCTCCAAGAAGTCCGGCCTCTCCTTCGTCAGCTTCACCCTCCTCTGCAGCTTATCCATCGTTCTTTTCCGATGAAACCGTCTGGCATTGCCGCTCAATTTCCGAACAAGCGGACACACCCAGTCCTCCAGCCCCAAAAGCCTGAGGGCGAACATGACGCAGCCGAACCGCACACTCTTCCCCACCGCGTCCACCCACGGATCGTACTCGGCCTTCTCCAGACACCCAAACGGCTCGCCAAAGGCCAAGTCGCCAATGATGTCAAAGGTAGTCCAATTATACCAGCTTACCATGTCAAGCGGTACACGTTCATCATGTTCCTCTTTTTGGTTGTTCTCCGTTTGCTTCGTGTTCGTGTTCTTCATGTTTATGACCGTCGTTTCCTTTTCCTCCTCCTCCGACACAACTTGAACTCCCCCATCTTGCTGCTTCACCACGTCCTCCCTCTTCCCAGAAGAAGAACAATTGCCCCTCAACCCCCTAATCAACGCACTCACATACCCCCCAATAATCCCCTCCTGCGCCCTCATGCTCCGATCACTGAACCCCTGCGCCATCAACTTCCTCAGCGTCCCGTGCGCCTCTTTTGTTTCACTCAGCAGACTCGGCGGGCTGCCTTTGATCCGGTAAAAGAGATTGAGCTTGGCAAACTCTTCTTCGCCATGGGGCCGATGGCCGTAAATGTCCTTCCAGGCTTGCGGGTCGGCAAAAGACATAGCATTGGGCGAGATGCGCACCACGGGCCCGTACCGCGCGTGGAAGTCGAGGATGGAGCAGGGGAGCGTGCCGGTGATTTGGCGGTACAAATAGGGGAGGATGGAGGCGCGGTGGAGAAAGGGGCCCGGGTGGCGGGCGAGCGGGTGCAGGGTGAGGTTGTAGATGGCGGAGAGGAGGATGGAGGATAAGAGGATGGAGGTCTGGAAGACGGTGTTAGTGATTGTTGCAAGTCAAGGGCAGGAGTAGGTAAGGTAGGTAAGGTAGGTAGGTAGGTAGGTACTCACACCGATTAGGAAAATCCCTACAAAACTGGTAGGACTGGGTAGAGGTATCCCTAGTGGAAGGAGGTGTGAGAGGTCTATCATCATCATCATCATCTCTTCTGTGAACTACGGCTGCTTTGTTGAGTAGAAGTAGAACGCGGCAACCAGAGGTGTTGTTGGTTGGAGAAGAAGATGCCCGATGACTGACTGACTGACTGACTGGTGGTAGGTCAGTAGTCCAATACTTTCAAGTCTGGTCCTGATGTAGGTAGGTAGCCATCCAAAAGATATAGGTACCTATTTATACCGAGGCAAGTCAAGTTCAACCAACCCCCCCTGAGTGATATACGGACTCGAGCATCATTGTATAGTACGGAGATTTCGACAGTCCAGTCCCAATCGGACACTTTTTTTTTTTTTTTTTTCTTGACTTGTTCCTGGTTCATGTCTCAAGAAGGTTGAGGAAGAACAGAACAGAACAGAACAGAAAGAAACCCCCCCAGCCCCGATTTCTCAAGACCCTGAGACAGATTACCAACGAACCCATTACCCGGACGGCTGTGCACCAGTGATTCACTCTGTCCTTCTGTGTCTGGTCGCTACATGTATGGGGCTCTGTCTTTGTGAGGAAGCGTGGCCGATGTAATGTACAGTACAGTCCGAGCAACAGTACGTAAGGTAGTTTGAGCCGTCACGAACTCGGTCCAGTCATCGGCCAGTGAAGTTGCCATGGGTTTGTACCCGATCGTGCGTCTTCTTTCGCTGTGGGACCTTTTTTTTTTGCCTATACTACACTACAGTACAGTACATAGTGTACATGAATCGATCGGAGATTTTGTCGAAACCCCTTGCACTAGTTAGGTATGTAAACGGTCGGTCGATGATGCACTGCCGTATGTATAGCGGTATCGATGTCACCTTGCTATTTTTTTTTTTTCCGGATGGAATTCCCGCTCGTCCTGTCCTGTCCATCTGTCCAGGCAGCCAGGGTATGTAGGCATGTACCTAGGTACCTAGTATCAGAAGATTCCAACCAAGCGAAGACACTGAAACATTTTCTAAACCCACTTGTCAGCTCGGGAATGGGATCAGCCGTTTTTTTGTCGCGAGCTTGTGCAGCAGTAAGGTTGGAAAAGTACCTACACTAAGTAAAAATCCAATGACTTCTTACATGCGTGGTGGGTGGTGGTGGTGGTGGTGGCCGTTGTTGATCAAAGTAGCGTGGTGATCGACGGCGTGGCTCCGCTTTTGCCATGAGACCCAAACAACACAGTTCGTTGGGTTCCAGTTCGCTTGGGGGCCTGGAGCTGCTTAGGCATGTACATAGGAGGCGGTCAAGGTGATGATCAATAGCACGTGCCTCCTAGTATCGAAAAGAGAATCGGTAATCGCGAAACAAACAAAAGAAAACATGAACGGGGAAGATTTGTTAGTCGATTATCTCGATATCCGAGGAGAAGCAAGATATGGATGGAAGTTGGGGCAGGCAGCGCCTCCTTGGTTACCCTCCATGCAATAAAAAGAGATGTTGGTTGCCCCGAAGCGGCCTCTTCTTTCCTTGGCCTTTGAATTCGGCGATATTTATTGGGGATTGGAAGAGCTGTTGCTCTTCAGTCATCCTCATCTCAAACCGTGACAGCGTAGTGCCAGAAATATGGTGGTATCAAAACGTGCTACATATACAAGAAGAAGAAGAAGAAGAAGAAGAAGAAGCCCCCCCTGTACATAACGCCGGCCCATTATTTACCCGGTCTCATACCAAAAGAACCCAAAGATGTGAGTATACAGAATCATGAGCATATCTGCACATACATCCCCTTCTCCAAACTCTCATTCATGGAAATCATCAACTCAATCCCCCAAGTTCATAAAAATCCAAATCGCAATACCTCCCGCTATCAGCAATATCGTGCACATAGCCGCCCCAGCCTTATCCGCCGTAGTAATCGGCTTTGCTGGCTCGGTAGCATGCCTACTTCCCGTTCCCGCGTTTGGATCTCCCTTGCTGGTACCACCCGTCGTGTTCGTCACTGGCGGGTCGGCTTCATCAATAAGGAGACTCGACACAGCCGCGAGAACATCCATAGCCTCTCCCGCACCGGTAGTCTTGTCCACGGCGGGATCGACAAAGACACCCCCGGACCAGTAGAAGCCGCACACTCGCCCTGTGGATCCGCCCGTGCATTGCTTCGCTGCCGCTTCAGCTGAGGTTTTGAGGACAGGGAGGATGGTGTCCCGCGTAAAGGGCGCGATCTGCGTCACCATGGCCATCCAGCGGTGCACGTACCCCTTGAAGCTCACCATGTCGGGCGTGCAGGCGCCCTGGCGGCCCTCGCAGGCGAGTTCGAAGGCGATGCCTTTGGGGAAAAAATCGCGAAAAAGACCTTCGGTGAGTTTCTCGATGCGGGTTTTCCACATGTCTTGCGTGGCGGCGTCACCTTCCGTGTAGTTGTACATGAAGGCGGCGCCCTGGACGAGTATGGCGGCGCTGTAGCTGAACTGCGCCTTGTTGATGTCCGTGCAGTTATGCTCGACGTGCCCGCCATCGTAGACTTTCCAGGAATCGTGGTCGATGTAGTTGACGTCGTAGATCCATTGGAATTGCTTGGTGGCCCAGGTGGCGTAAGTTTCGTTGCGGGTGTAGCGGGCGAGACGGGCGCCCATGTTGAAGAAGCTAGGGGGTTTGGTTAGCTAACTAGGCAGCTCGGAAATTGGTTCTGATATGTATACTTACATGGCGTTGGCAATGGTATTCTTGTAGTCGTAGCCGTTGTTCGTAGGAGGAATCTGCCATCGCAAACCACCGTTACAGGTATCGTCGTGGCGGTCAGGCGCGGCTTGGGTGGCCCAGACGGCCTGAGCAAGGGCAAGCCACTGGGGCTGGTCAGCGGGCGGGTTGGGGAACTTGTTTTCGGCGGCAAGCATGGCGGTCATGCCCCAGAATCCTTGGTCGTCGTTGCCAAGCGAGGCCGTGAAGTTCAAGGGTTGAAAGTCGCGATTATCGCCGACTTGGTGAAGAATACCCTGGGTGATGACATCGTTGTAGGTGGTGTCGCCGGTCAAGTGCCAGTAATCAATCATGGTGCCCATCAGGGCGCCGCCTTCCCACCAGTAGTAGTCGCCTTTTCCATCGGAGGGCGGACCGGGCAGGATACCTGGGATTTGGCCCGACTGGTTGCCGTTGTAGAATTTCATCAAGTCGAAGGCTAGCGTCTTTGCGGAGGCACGGATGTTATCTGCAAGGCAATGTTAGCTGCGTCTGCAATAGACACTACAGGCTGAAGTGCTCAAGTGGCCGCTGTACCTGTGGTATCGATAGCGTAGCCTTGGGCATTTGCTGCCGGCAGCAAACAAGCTGCGGCGGCGAAGAGAGCTGTGAGCCATTTCGCCCCTCTTGGCGATGATGTTGTCCTCATGATGTATGGTATGGTGTTTGCGGTTGAGTGGCCGGCCCGCCGCTCAGCTCGATATCTGATGTTGCCAAGACTTTTTCGAGTAATAGCATGCGCTTAGTGACTCTAGATGATGCGAAAGATAGACAGAGAGCGATCAAATGCCAAGTCCAGGAGATTGTAAGAAAGAAAGAAAGAAAGAAAGAAAGGGCGCGACGCTTCAACGAATGACAGGTAGTATGAGACCGAGGTGATGGGGTCCAGAGCCACACTGCCTCGCCCTGAACAACAAAGAAGGATGCGCTACGGCGGGAATAAAAAAGTTGAAGTGAAGAAAAAGACTGAATAAGAAAATCTGGAGACGGTTTCAGACATGGAAGTCGGGAGAGTGGGGACCACACACGATGATGCGGAAGTCAAGAAGGCCTGACCTTGTCCTTGGGAGAACTATGGTAGAACCTTGGTAGTTTCCATTCCACGCGACAAGACAGGTGAAGGTACTATGTAGCTGAAGCCGGCGAGTGAGCGGGAGTGGGCTGTGCAATTTGTGCGTGTGACGAGTCGTGTGTGGGATGGGATGGTGGCCGGGCACTCAATCTCCAGCTCGACCCCCCTCCTCAATCGAGAGCGCTCAATGTGCGTGCCCGGGCCCCTGGTGGAGGGTAGGTGGCTTGTCGAACCTGAAGATCCCGTCTCGTTCCCGGCATCAATGGCATTACCTACCTCTACCTACTGCGCTGCTGTGGTGAAATCCATTCAGGTACGCGATTCAGTTGGATCGGCAGTCGCGCATGGGGCTTTCACTTGCCGGCTAACGTGTTGTGGATTTCAGCCGATCGCCTAGTGTAGCTAAGGTACTGTCTGTCTGGAGATAACGCCCGAAGAGAGACCTGTGTCGAAGCACTATCATGTCATCTCTTGATGTTGCGGAGAGGAGACTGTGTGATGTGTTGCAGAAGAGAACTAAGTCGAGGGTCCGTCGTCTCAACCTCTTTCAATTTCAATTATCCGCCATGCATGACATCGATGCGCACCACCACCCTGCCCGGTCGGTGCTGCTGTAACACCGGGCAAGTTCCCTTGTAGCGCTAGGCCCTATGTTACATGCAATACCGTATTTTGAAAGTTACGCACTACCAATCGTTGGGCCAAGCGACTGTGTACCACAGTACACAACAGGTAACGAACCTCGACAAGAAATATTGATACGACAGATCGTCACCCAAGCCCGGGGGATGAAACCGATGGGGTCTGGCAATCTGTATTCTGCGTGGGACGTTCAGGGTCGATTCGTTCTGGACTTGGACTAGGTCAGAATGGCGGATGACATCTTTTTTCTTTCTTTTAAGGGAGGCCATGTGCTACCTCATTTGACTACTCGAAAGCTCGAGCGGGGGCAATGCGATGTTGACAGAGTGGGTTTCCATAGAGTTAGGTATTAAGGACACATAGGGCAGCTCCTGCGAGGTACAAGCGCCGTACGTAACGTCCAGGCAGGATGCACTGCCATGCCGCACCAAGCATGCACCCTGCAAATCCAAGAACCTCTAGTGTAGTGTATTGTAGTGTAGTGTACGTAGGTAGTGTAAAGTCCTCGGCGCGCAGTCCGTTTCATGACATTCACATACCTGCTATCAATAGCAGCTTCTTATCCTTCAGGTAAGCATAGGTATGGAGTCCTTGGTTAACCCCATTCAAGAATGTTAAGAATATTAAGAATATACTGGACCTAGACACGTTCAGCGGGTTTCACCGATCATGTACGTAGCACGGTACTATGTTCATTACGCTTCAGCGCTGTGCTTTACCTGTAGGTACAGACATGTAAAAATGTTACATACTGCGTAGGGCATGTGCCCCACAAAAGCCCCTCGGCTTTCACATCAAACCTAACCATCATCTTGAACTCCCGCCGTCAACATCGATGGAGCCACTGGTGCACCAGAAACGGAAGGAACAAGTCTGTCTTCCCCAGGCGTGGCCAATGGAAGCCTGAATTGGCAATCTCCCCTGGTCATCAATTTTCCAATCTGGACGAATGATTGAAACCCGGACTCTCAACTTGGTTCTTGCAACTGTCAGTCTTCGATACTCGACTTCCATCCGTCCTCAGTTCGCTTGTCTTCTTCCTGCCGGCAGAACTACTCACTTCGAGACGAGACCGCATAGCTCTCTCGTGATGGTGACAATCCTCGTTCCCTCGAGTCCAGTGTCAGAGTGAAACTGTTTTGAACCTTCAAAGGGGCTTTGCTGAGACATACCAATCACCATGAGTGCGACATGGCCATCAACCCTTTGAGCATGTCCTAGTGTAGTACGTACTATGCCCTGCAGTAAGTAACAAGCCTTCTTGGCGCTGTAGGCGAAACAGCCCCGGATTCCGATTCCCGCCCTAGGCGTCCTCCATGTGGAACCGCCGACGACGCTAACACGGTTCCGCTTCCCCAGCCCAGACATGCCAGGCCGAGTCTCGGCGCCGTTCTCCCAAGCCGCCCGCCCGAGGGCTTCTCTATGCCTTCCGCTTCCGCAGTCCGAGAGACCACCTCTCCATTCCACGCACCGGGTCAGGCTTGCTACAGTCCGGAGTAAACTCCGCTCCCAGGATACTGTCGCATCACCCCAAAGATGGCGACACGCCGAGTGCTTGGCTTTCCGGGGGCACGGCTCACTCTCACTCCCCAATCCCGACCTCTTATTCCCCCGGTACAGCGACAATATCGGCCCACCTTTGCTCCCCAGGCATATCACTCGACACGATGGGCATCACAACGATCTGAGAAAATCCCTCCGAGGACTGGGCGGATCTTGTCCAATATGCTAGGTCTGTCCACACAAAGCTGGATCATTCTTGCGTTATCGGCGATAATCATTATGGATGTTTCGAAAACTGTCTTGAAGGACGCAAAGAAGGAGGAGCATTCACTGGCAAAACCGACCTACGCAAGCCGCAAAGAGATGCTTGACGCTGCGGACGAGATTGCTCGGATACTGGGACATGACGCCGTCACCTACGATGCCCATGTTCTCGAACACCACGGCCATTCGGACTGGTCGACGTCCAACTCACCTGGGCGTGCCGTTGCCGTAGTTTACCCACGCACGACTGACCACGTATCTGCCATCGCTCAGATATGTAATGCTCGTAATGTCCCCATGGTTCCCTTTGGCGCCGGTTCCAGTGTCGAGGGCAACTTCTCCCAGCCCTATTCCGGCATCTGCATCGACTTCACCTACATGGATAGAGTCATCGCCTTCCACCCAGAGGACATGGATGTCGTCGTTCAACCTGGCGTTAACTGGGTTGACCTCAATAATCAGATCGCCCATACAGGGCTCTTCGTACCTTTGGATCCCTCGCCCACTGCCACAGTCGGTGGAATGGTTTCAACCAATTGTTCCGGCACCAACGCCATGCGCTACGGAACTATGAAAGACTGGGTGCTCAATCTGACTGTCATTCTCCCGGATGGCCGCGTTATCAAGACACGTCGGCGTCCTCGTAAGACCTCGGCTGGCTATAACCTGACTTCTCTGTTTGTCGGCACCGAAGGTACTCTGGGAATAGTAACCGAGGTCACCCTGAAGCTCGCTCCCATCCCAAAAGAAACCAGCGTCGCCGTTGTTGCTTTCCCCACCATCCACTCTGCCGCAGCAGCAGCTTCCAAGCTGATTCGCTCCGGGATCCAGCTCGCTGCTTTGGAGCTCATGGACGACGAGCAGATGAAATTGCTCAATGCTCACGGAAGCGACGCAGTTCGTAAGCGCGTATGGGACGAGAAACCTACCTTGTTCCTCAAGTTCAGCGGGACTACCAAGGACGCCATCAAGAGCGATGTGTCCCGCGTAGGCGACATCATCAAACCCTTGACAGACAGCAAATTCCACTTTGCAAAGACAAAACAGGATGAGCTGGACCTCTGGTCCGCGCGCAAGGAAGCCCTCTTCACCATGGTAAACACTCGGCCCAGGGGCACCGAGATTTGGTCAACAGACGTGGCCGTCCCCATTTCACGGCTGGCGGAAATCATCGAAATCTCGAAGCGGGAATGCGGATCTCTAGGCTTGTTTGCGAGCGTGGTGGGTCATGTAGGAGATGGAAACTTTCACGTCTCCATGATGTACGACCCAACAAATTCGCAGCAGAAACAGGCTGTCGCCAAATGCGTCAAAAACATGATGACCCGTGCACTAGAGATGGAGGGTACTGTAAGCGGGGAGCATGCGATTGGTATTGGGAAGAAGGAGTGCTTGGTGGATGAACTTGGAGAGGAGACGATTGGGCTCATGAGGCAGCTCAAGGCTTCGGTTGATCCCAAATGGGTCATGAACCCGGGAAAGGTGTTTGACTGGATGGGGTAACAAAGCGGTCAACCCACGGTGGTTAAAATGTTTTATTCAGAGGTCGAAGGTGGACTAGAAGAGAAACAAGACATCGCTTCATCTCTTCTGGCTCGGCTCGACGCATAACTCTCGACACTTCAGCCTCGGACGGAATTTACTCCGTCTTATATGGAGGTTGAATGGGGGTTATTCGCAGCTGGGGATGCCAAGCCGCTACCATCCAACTCAACAGGTGACCAAGTGGTATGGCGGAGGCTGAGGAAAAACATCACAAGTTGGATGACAGTTTGTAAGACTTGACGTGAGCCAATTGCGTGGGATGCCGTCCACTGACAGGTGAGGTTGTCATCAAGTCTCCTCAGCCCTACGGCAAGGTCGGAGATCGGACGTGCTCTACGTTGGTCAAGAATGCTAATTTTGAAATCCCATTACATACCTAGCTTCCTGGCCAAGGTAGCCAAGCAAGTGGGGAATCATGATGTTCGTATTTGAAGCTTCTCATGTGATCCCGAGAAGCTTCCAGCAATACGAAAAGTGGATATAAAGGCATACAGTTCCCGGGTATTTCTAGATCCTCGTAAATTCTCACATCACTACACCCTCGGGACAGACGTTGCGAGATCTTTTAGTCGGATACAAGTATCTCTCAAAGCACCATTCGTCTCCATTCTTCTTCCAACTAGGCTCCTTCATCTGCCAGGTCTTCAATCAAGACTATTGAATACCATCACCACTACAAGCACCACACAATGCAACTCACCAACCTCCTCACCGGCGCTCTCGCCGTCCCCTCTATTGGCGCCTCCGCCTTGCCCGCCTCCTCCTCCTCTTTCTCATCCGAGTACAACAGCAAGCGCGTCCCCACCCTCGGCGGCTTCCGCCTCTCCACCTCCGACACCTGTCCCATGGACCTCAACTCCCATAATTGGGAGTTTTACACCGTCAACTTTGGCGCCGCCTGCGGCGAATGCACCGTACCCAAGAAGCAGTTGACAGGCCCCGTCACGGAGACGTTCGACGCCCGCACCATCAGTGACGCCTACCTCAATCCCAAGTGCCAGATCACGCTGTTCCAGAAGACGGACTGTTCGGATCTGGGTATCGTGAGCGGTAGTGGGTGCTGGGCGCCCGAGGGCGGGATTAAAGCTTATAAGATTACGTGTCCTTGGTGGGAGGAGCCGGCGGCGGGTGCAGAGGAGGGGGGAAGTTGGTTGAGGCCTTGTTATGACTAGACTGGAGGGTTTGTTTGCCTGGGATGAAGGAAGGAGGGAAGGAAGAAAGGAAGGAAGGGGAAGATGGTGATGGGAAGTATCAGGGCTTTGCGAGTGTGGTTGGAGGAAGATGGAGTGAAGAGGTCGTGGAGGACAATGGGATCGGTTACTTGTTTCCTATGAAGACACTTGTTGATGTGGGGATTTTCAGGACGATATGTTTCTGAAGATCGTCATACAATTGATGCTTTTGCTTTTTGGTCATCCGGTTCCTTGAGATATCTTGTCATCTTGTCCATGTTCCCCATTCACGACAAGCTTTGGTCGACAATAATATCGTCCATTTTGCCAAGCGAGCAATATTCGGTTTCTCTCTCCTGAAGTACGCTGAAGTGTCCAGCCAAATCCGGTTGGTCTTGCGAATCCAGTCTGCAAGCCAGCTTTTCGGTGCAGTGCGCAACAGAGGCCCCTGAACTAGCGAAGCTGTCGACTTATTTCAGGCCGGGGGTTCCATCTGAGTTGAATTCAACAAGGAGATGAAGGAGTGACGGGATTTGGTCTCTGCAAACTACAATCACTGACCCGGATCTGGGGTGGGAGCTATGTACTTTGTATGAACGGGACCTGCATTCATCGCCGATCCGTGGGTGGGAACCCGGCACTTCGGAGACGTCATGAGTGGGTCAGTGCCGGTGTAAGTCGGCGCGGGCTTCCGAACCGTGGGCAGCACTACACAAGGCCATTCACATGAGATTGGGTTTTTTTTCTTTTGTTCGAGAAAGGTGATGTTTTGGGAAGAGAAAGGCAAAGGCGAGGTCAATTCAGTTGACACAGACAGTCGAAAATCACAAGCCTGAACCCTTCCACTTCCCCTCTCCTCCAAACGAGGCCCTATAAAGCCCTTGTGCGGGGAAGTGCTTCGAATGCACGTCGCGCGCCAACGGTCTCTGAACCGAGGCAACTGAGAGGCTCCCCGTGACCATCAACATGAGAGCCCATCATCATCGCTGACAGGTTGACGACAGTTTTCTATCAGTGTCAGCGTCATCTTCTCGATAGCATCCAACTGCAGGAAGATATTGCTGTAAACCACCAAAAACACAGTGAACACAGCAATCAACAATCTACAAACCCCTCCGCGATTCATCTTCGGACTTTGAGCATCACCTCTCTCGACCTCAATCCCAATAACCACATCCACCTTCCATCCCTCCACGACATCCCAAACCCTCGCTCTACATCACCATGTCCTCCCCACACCCAACCTCCACCTCTTCACCCCCTCCACATCCCTCCCCCTTCCCCACCCCCACCAAACAATCCCCCATCATCATAATCGGCACCGGCCTCTCCGGCCTCGTCGCCGCCTTTGAGCTCTCGCGCGCCAACCTCCCCTGCCTGCTTCTCGACCAAGAACCCCGCTCCTCCTTAGGCGGACAAGCCTTCTGGTCCTTGGGCGGTCTCTTCCTCGTCGACTCCTCCTTCCAGCGACGCATGGGCATCCGCGACTCGCGCGCCCTCGCCCTGCGCGACTGGTTATCCTCTGCGCAATTCGACAAGCTCGAGAAGGAAGATTACTGGCCGCGCAAATGGGCCGAGGCCTTCGTCGATTTCGCGACGGACGAGATGGAAGAGTATGTGAAAGCGAGGGGATTGGGGTTTTTGGTGAATGTTGGGTGGGCGGAACGTGGAGATGGAAGGGGAACGGGGGGACATGGGAATAGTGTACCGAGGTTTCATGTCAGTTGGGGGACGGGGCCGGAGGTCGTAAGGGTTTTTAAGGAGCCGGTGGAGAAGAAGGAAGAGGAAGGGGTGGTGGAGATGAGGTTTCGGCATTGTGTGGATGAGATTGTGGTTGATGAGGGTACAGGACGGGCGGTAGGAGTGAAGGGGAGGGTTTTGGAAGAGGAGGAGGAGAAGGAGGGGTTGGCGAGGGGGATGAGCAGTTCGAGGGTTGCGACGGGGGAGTTTGAGATTCGTGGTGCGGCAGTGATCATTGCTAGTGGGGGGATTGGAGGGAATCTGGAGAAGGTCAAGAAGAATTGGCCGATTGATCGGCTGGGCCCAAAAGTGCCGGCGACGATGGTCATGGGCGTGCCGGCGCATGTGGACGGGCGGATGATTGATATTGCGGAGGGCGTGGGCGCAAGCGTGATTAACAAGGACAGGATGTGGCATTACACGGAAGGACTCAAAAACTGGGATCCCATCTGGCCAGGGCACGGGATTCGAGTGCTGCCGGCGCCGTCTTCGCTCTGGCTGGACGCCACAGGCAAGAGACTGCCTCCGTTCCTGTTCCCGGGGTGCGACACGCTGGGCACCCTCAAGCACATCTGCAGCACGGGGTACGACTACTCGTGGTTCATCTGCAACCGCACCATTGCAGCGCGAGAGTTTGCGCTTTCGGGATCGGAGCAGAACCCGGACCTCACCAACAAGAGCATCGTGCAGACGCTGTGGCAGCGCGTCTTCAGCTCCAACGGCACCGTTCCTGTGCAGAACTTCATCAAGCATGGCGAGGACTTCGTCGTGAAAGATAACCTCGAGGACCTGGTGGCCGGGATGAACGAGCTCATGGAAAAAACGGGGGGTGTCCGTCTCGATTACGCCGCGATCGAGGAGGAAGTCGAGGCACGAGACAGCCAGTTCGACAACCCGTACTCCAAGGACGCGCAGGCGATGCTCATCAACAGCACAAGGAATTACTGGCCGGATCGGAGAAGCCGTGTGGCGCCGCCGCACAAGTTGTTGGATAAAAAGCACGGCCCGCTGATTGCGGTCCGGATGAATCTGCTTACGAGGAAGACGCTGGGTGGCATCGAGACGAACTTGAGCAGTAATGTCATGCGGACGGATGGCACTCCTTTCCCGGGCTTGTACGCGGTTGGAGAGGCGGCAGGGTTTGGGGGTGGTGGTGTCCATGGCTATAATTCTCTCGAGGGAACATTCTTGGGAGGATGTATCTTCTCTGGTAGAGCGGCTGGTCGGGCTATTGTTGAAGAGGTTCTGGGAACAACTGGCTTGCAAGCGAAGCTTTGAATGGGATCTTGGGGGATCGCGGTATCAAGGGTGAGTCCACAAAGTATTGGAAAAGTCACTTCAATTGAAAGTTTGGCATGGTTTCAGGTCACGATGAACTTGGCACAATAAGGAAAGAAGCGAATTTTTTTTTTCATTTTTTTTTTGGTTTTAGGAAAGGCCTTCAAAGAATATTCGAACGGAGCGAACAGAATAGCAAAGCGATATGAAAATAACCGGCAATCCGAAAGTCAACTTCCGCCTCACAACAGAATCATACCCTCCAACTTGACTTTTATCCTTCTCGTATCCTACTTTACATTACTGCTATTAACCAATTTTGCCCGTTTTCCAACTGCCGCACTTGTCATTCTCGTCCTTCATAGTTCCTACTCATCCGCATTCCGTCATCTCTCCTTGCCTCCCTGGCCTCTCTCGCTGAAAAGGCTGCAACAGCTTATAGCCTTCGAATATCTCTCCCTCCTTTTGGTTGGTAACTTCTTTTTTTGGTGGTTGTTTTCTTTTTTTGTTCAATCAAAATGGATGACGCCTGCGTGACCGTGGTAGAGCGAATGGGAAGAGCGTAAGTAATGGGAGAAAAACAAGGTGATTGTGAAAAAGAAGGTACAATTCATAACAATTTTGGGGTGAGCTCGAAGACATCAACCCTAGCGACAGGTTGTGTATGTTGACTGCAATCGTGGGGTCTGTTGGCGAAGCATCTTGAGAAGTCCGGCTCGACTGTGGAAGGAAACAAGCTTGAGATCTCTCTAGTATCCATCCTTGGTCTGGTCAAATTGCCGTCGTTGTTCCCTGGTTGGGTATCTCTGGACCTCCTCCCATGAGACACCGGCATTCATCGAGTCCGGGAGTCGTACAAGTTTGAAACGCTTGAACACGCCGTTGTTCTTGTTCGTACCGAGCTTTTGATCAACGACCTCGTAGAGCCCATCATATCGGATGCCAACTGTAGGGTAGATGGGGCTGCGGCGAGGATCACAAGTGGTTCCTGCATGTCGCAATACCCGCACTGGCTTATGCGTCTTGAGCGCTATCTTTAAACTTCTTGTCGCGTTGCTGGTTTTGGCTCTCAAAGGGTCGGCATTCTCTGCACTTTTGTCCGCGCTGTACCAAAGCTCGGTGCCCTTGTCTTCGTTCAGGTCCCGGTAAACTGAGGTCGCCGATACAACGATAGAGTAGGTTCCCAGATCAGGGTTGCCGGTAATGCCCGCTTGAGGCGCACCGTGAGCTCCATGAAAGAGAGCAGCCTTCTGGTACGGCCACCAAGCACCGGGAGTATGGTCGTTGTGGCCAAAAACCTTTGCGTTGCGTTTCTTATTATAGTAGCGAGGATCCAAAAATAAAACAGCTCGACCTTTCTTGGTCGTCTTGCGAGCCAGGCCGTGCATGATGCCCTCGAGGCCCCAGATTGGATGGGAACCGGGGGGGAGTCTAACAACTTCTGTGTGATCGGAAGAGCTGGGGTCATGGCTTTGTCTACCCTTTTTGCTGGATGTCGCAATAGCGGGACCCAGATCATCTGCCTCGATTCCTTCTTCTTCTTCTCCGTCATCTATAAAGCCCTTACCCCATTCTTCGGCGTTGTATTGCTCCAGTACTTCTCTAGCCAGTAGCAACAGGTCTGGAGCTACTTTCTTCAAGGGTTCCATCTCGGGGCGAAAAATGAATTCGAGCGTCTTATCGAGACCATATGTGTCTTTAAAAAGAGGCTTTGGCTCTACATCATGCTTAAGAAACAGCATGAAGGCGCGCATGTATTGAATATATCTTTTTACTTCTTTCTTGGAGGGTTCTACCAGCCGCTCCTTCTTTTCCCTTGTCATGGAGTAAAGCTTTTTGAGCTGTTTGACTCCCTCCTCAACAGAGTCAACCCAGACACTAGCTGTGTTTTCGTCTGCGGGGGTAGCATCAACCGTCGGCTGAGTCATTTCGATGTCCTGGTCGGTATCATTATCGGTTACCGGGGAAGGAAGATGTGTCGGAGTGGCATTTGAGGGTAGGTTTGAAGCCCGGGGGGTTAGGATTTGGCCAGAAGCCTCGCCGGGAGACTCCATGTCGACTACCGGAACTCGAGTTTGCACTTGCGGTGCTGATGAATTGGTAAGACGGGCGCCGACTGCCTCGGACGGCACTTTAAGTTTCGGCGCAGGGCGTATTTTCTGTTTCTGATACGAGTTAGCAAGGACAGGATTGGGTGGATGGTAGGGGCATGCATCGAACTTGTAAAAGTATGCGCATTCCTCCAAAAGAATCACGCCGGATACGA